GTGGTACTTAGTTGCTGGCTGAGGTTAGACCGCGACATAGTTAATATCCTGACGGCACTGAGATCTGCAGAAGTTAGATGGGAAAAGCTTCTCTAAATTTCTAGTTCAAGTGTCAACTATGGTAAACTTCTAAGACTGTGCTTTCTTACACATATTCTTATGAAAATGCCTTCTCCACTTGTAAATATACTAGTCAATCAGACCAGCCTAAGGAATATGCTTTGCAATCTGTAGATCTCTTTGTTTTCCTTTCTCATAAATGCTTTTCCTGCCATTTGTTACCTATTAAATTAGCAGCTCCCTCGTACATGTGCTCTGTTTTAAACTGTGATTTAGAATGAAAAGGGGAAGAAGTATTAGCAGGAAGGAAGGAAGGGTGGGCGTAATAGTACTGGATGCAGTCTTCAATAAGAGATTGGCAGCTTAATGTGAGATTCTCAGTCTCAAACAACTCTGTGACTTAAAACAGGCCGAGTATATGAGCAGACTGGTTTTCCCATTCTTAGAGTTGTCCTGTGACACTAGTTTCACTACGGTTTGCAGTTCTCCTCACTTTTCTGTATGCATTCCCTAATAGCACTCTTCATTTCAGTGTTGACTGTGAACCTTTGTATATGGCAGATACCACCCTACTACCCCTTTGCATTTGCTACCTAAAACACTAGCATTTTGCTCTTGTTAGTCTTTTACTCTGCTGCCACTTTGATTCTTCTGGCAATGAAGAGTTTGTTGTCAAAACAAAGAAATATGTGAATAGTTTGTCTTTTTTTTTTTTTTTAAAAAAAAAAATCTCGTTTTGGTGCCGTACTTCAGTATGCTTCTAACCTATGCTTTCTTTGTTCTACTTCACTGTTTTTCTTGCCCACTAACTGCATTATTCTTTCTGCTCCCCACCACAAAGCCCGCTGAATATGGACTTGGACTCTTAGCCTGACTCCTGAGAAGGCAGTAGTTGAATCTCCAGTAAGTTCACCCCTTTGCTGGCTCCTATCTTTCCTAGGTTCAGGAGTCTTTGCAGGGCATGGGAAGCAGTGCTGACAGCTGTGACAGTGAGACAACTGTGACATCGCATAGTGAGGAACAGAAGACACTGGTAGCAAAGGAACTGCCCTGTTTCAGTAAGTTTGAGGAGGAAGATGAGGATGATGAGGATGATGAAGAGGATATTATCTCTCGAGTAGAGAGACGAAAGGTAGGGGCACCTTCTGAGAACAGAAGGAGCGAAGATAGAAAAATTATTGACTATGAAACTGAACAAAATCAAGGACGAGAAAGCGAGTCATCTCATATGCCAGAGACAGTCCAAGGAGAGGTCAGCTCTAAAGAGGAAGACATTTCCAGTGAGCAAAAAGAATTGGACCTGCTGGAGGAAGGCAGTGTGCTGGAGTTTCCTCAGTACCACACGCATCATATCCTCAAGTCGATGGAGGCTCTGGAAGGTGCCGACTCCTCCCCATCGTCTGTGGACAGGGTTCACGTCGCCTTGCAAAGAGCTGAGATGAGGATCGTCAGCACATCTGATTCCAGGGCCGGACGCACTCTGCTTAAGTCAAAAGATCTCCTGAGGAAGCAGAGGCTCTGGTTTGCTGAATCGGGCTATCCTCTAAGACGGTCTCAGTCTCTCCCAACTGCGTTGCTGAATCCAGTGAAAGTGGTGTCCTCTGTGAATGTCCAGTTAACTCCAGGAAAAGAGACTCTGTGCAGTCCTCCTTCTTTTACCTACAAATACACAGGTATGGAGGAAGACAAGAAAGTGACATCTGAGAACAACAAAAGTGAGGGTGAGGCAGCCGCCAGCCAGCCGGTGTGCAAATCCACGCTGTTCATTGCACCTTCGTCCTCCAAAAAAGAAGTGCCCCAGGCTGGACCCAGCAGGCTATCTGAGGAGCCCAGTCCCACCAGGGTACAGAGCTGTCCACTGCACACGCCGGCACACATGTCCCAGTCGACGTGCTCCCTCCACTCCCTCCCCGCCGAGTGGCAGGACAGACCGCTCTGTGAGCACATGAGAACACTGAGCACCCACAGCGTCCCAAGCATCTCTGGCTCTTCCTTCAGCGCCTTGCTTTCCCCCTTCAGCTGTCCCTTCTCTCCAAGGCATGCTGCATTTCCTCATCGACCTCATGCCATCAACCCGCCATCCACTGTGGAGATGCAACTGCGCATTCTACACGACATCAGAAACTCTCTGCAGAACCTCTCACAGGTAAGGGAAAGCCAAATTTTGTCCCGGGGCAAAGGACCTTCTTATTTTATCCTTACAAAACCAAGATATTGACCTGAGTATTCCTTTGAGTAGTGCAACAGATCAGGAAAAAATGACATTTTGTGCAAGTTTGATTTGCTACTGTTTCAGGAACTTCTGTTTAAAGTGGCAGATTATCATCTCTCCAGTGCTCCACTGTATTTGCATTTAATTTTTTCTTGTTGCAGTTGACCCAAATTGCTGATTTTTTTATTTTTTCCTTTTATGGATATTCTTGGGTGGGAGGGAGGAACAGTGTACTCTTTATCAGCTATTATTTTAAGGTGAGAGTCACTAACTTTAGATTTGAAAATACATATTAACAGTCCTTTGACCTCTCTCTTTGTCTCTGACATACTTCCCATCCAACTGATAAAAATGTATTTTTTTCATTACAAATTGCATGGCTTCACTAAAGATGTCAATGGTGATTGATCCCTATGACTTTCTGTGCTGTTTCATGCCAGTCTTTTGCACTTTCAACTCTGGAGCTAGTCAACATGTTCCTGATGTCATCTGTTGTTTATGAAGAATCAGTTTTGTCAGAGCATGTAAAGTTTTGTCCATCTCATCACTCAGAGAAGAAATGCTTTAAAATGCAAGCACTTTTTTTTACCAGTTTCTGCCACACCTTCTGCTATTTCCCTCCTGATTGCCAGCTGTCCCTCCTCTGCCATCTCTGTACTGCTGTTCTCCTAGGTGGTGATCCAACGTAGGAGCCTGCAGGCTGCTGCGGGAGGCTACGTGGGCAGAGCAGTTGCAGACTCTGCTTGTTTGTATATGAATACATGAAGACTGTTCAGTTGTAGAGCTTCAGCAATTTCTGTGGGTTTTACCCAAGAACAAACATGCGCCTGCCTACACCATATTGCAGGTGGTAGGCTGTAGTGGGCTTTTGTAGACCCCTGTTATTTTGTTTATTTTGCCACCTGTCAAAAGTTAGAGGCTAGTCCAGCCTGCCTTTGGTTATATCAGCTGGCCGCGCTTCTCAGAGCGAGCTTTGGTTCTGTAAGCAGCTCTGCAGTGGAAAGCTGTGGTCAGCTGTGTTTTAAGTCAGCCATTGCTCAAGGTAGTGGACGATGTGCCTGGGAGTAAGCATCTGCAGAATTTAACCTTCTTTGTAAAATTCCCTCATGTGAACCAATTGCAGCCTTGATTTGTGTAAGGTTACAGTGTGCTACACTACTTTTACTGCACATACCATGCTAACTAAACCTACTGAAGAAGAAACCTATGCATTACATCCAGAACTCATGCTCAAGCTGGTTCAATTAAAAAAAAAAAATTAGTATCAGAGGGCATAATAACATCTCCTAGCCCACTTGTTCTGATTCCAGCATATTTTGTCTAGACTGGTTCCATTTTGGGGGCTTGGTCCTTCTCATTGCAGATATTTGTATGAAAATGTGTTCCCTGGTGCTGCTTTTTCCTACAGCCAAGATCGAGTTTGGCACAGAGCATACTCAGCGGCTGAAGAAAATATGTTTCAAATATATGATTCTGATTTTAGGAAGGAATAAACAGAAGTAGATAAATTCTTTGTGAAACATGGACTAGAGAAAACTGGGAGAGGAAAAACAAAACATCCCCTTGTGATCATGTTTGAGGAAAACTCCCCTGGATGAATGGACATGCTTCAAATTTTCCATGGCGTGTCAATAGTCCTTTGAATTCTTTCAAAATTAGATTGGATAAACTGTCTTTTTCACGTTTGAAAAGATAAATGTTTTTGCTGTTTCCGTTGTTCCGTGTTGTGCCATGTCTCTACAGGTAACAGCCCCTGAATTTTATCTGTTTGCTCCATATGTTGGTGCAACATGCAAGAAGAAATTCTTCAACGATCTTGTTTTCATGAGAGATCATTAGCACACGGGGTCTTTGGATGTAGGCAAGGTAGCGAGATTAAAAACCAAAATCAACAAAAACCCTCCAAACTGAGAAATGAGCAAAACCCCACAACAAAGGTGGCTGTAATCATGATTTGAAAATGGGACACAGTTTAATTTTCTCAGTTCTCATTTTGGAGTTGTGCTTTTTATCATTAGCTAAGACAATTGAGACTACTGAGTTTTCAGGCATTAAATGCCTGGTGCATAAAAACTTAGCTTTTATTCCTACTTACTGCATCAGACAGGATTACTTTGGTTTTTCACCTGCAGCACATTTGCGTTACAGAGCTTTGGTGCACATGCTTCAGTTAAGAGCTAGTGCTGCTATTTTGTAAGGTATCCTTTTCCTGATACATTTACATAGATAGCAGAAATCACAGTGCTGGAAAGGTGGTGTTTTAACAGTGGCTGCTTTTGGAGTATCCGTGTGTTTGAGAAGATGACTTCATGAAAGAGACTGCTGACTTTCCCATTTCAAATCGTTTGTTTCTTCCCTAGTACCCGGTGATGAGGGGTCAGGATCTTTCAGCTGCCACCGGTTACGCTACTCAGAGATCATCCATTCTACCTCTCTACGAAGTAAGTGACCCTGTTCGCACAGGGGTACTTAGTCAAAGTAAAATACAAAGAAACATCCTGAATGTGCCATAGATTGTGCTAACTTTGGGCTGTTCCCTATCTTTGCTCGCAAGAGATGATAGATGACTCCATCCTGCAAGTAACGTTAAAAAGGAATTAATCGAAGTACATGGAAGTCCTTTCATGTGTTTTCTTGTATGATACATCTAAAAATGTTATTTTCTTGAATTATTATTCACAACGTGCAGCCTCTGTAGTATACTGAAGTTGCTGAGGTTCTGCTTGACTCAAAGGGCACATCTGGGCAAATGTGATTATAGGATCTAGGCTTATTTTAATTCAATTTTTCCATGTAATGCATTGTTGTCTCCCCTCTGCCCACAGAATACTTTCCAGGAGCTACAAGTGGTAAGGCGAAATCTAAACTTATTCAGAACCCAAATGATGGATTTGGAATTGACTATGTTACGTCAACAGACAACAGTTTATCAGCACATGACAGAAGAGGAAAGGTAAAATGATCTTTTTTTAAAAAAAAAAAAAGAGAGAGAGAGAGAAAATACACTGGCACTTCAGGAAATGTGTCGCTGCCCCTGAAATCAGAGCAAGAAATCTATTGTTTCAATATGAACACAGTTGGACCTGAGTTTTTGCCAAAAACTTGTTTACTCTCTTTATACTTCTTTCTAGAGTTTTTTTTCCTCTTTGTTTCTTTTAATCCCTATTTCTCATTCATTGATGAATTTTTTTTCTTCATTCTTTCTCCAAAGTGATTTTACAGCTCTAGGTTTTAAGGACTTTTATCATAGGATACTTGAACATAGGATATTGGCGGGGAAAAAGCCTTAAAGATTTTCAGCTTAGATTCCAGCCCCACCTTCCCCATTTTTGTAGATGTAAATAAAGAATGAACATTATAGCATTCGGATGCTTTTCCAGCTTACAGTGGCCACTTGACATGCTACAGTTGGCATTGCTATCTGACTCGGTGTGTTTGTGCTCATGTGAGTTGCAGCAGCAGCTGATCTGGAACAATTTTCAGAACTGCTTATATATTTATTTTAGTTGAATCGGCTCTTGACTGATCACTTTAAAAGTAAACATTTTTGAAATCAGTTGGCCTTCTTACACAATGAGATCCTGGCCAAAATGTAGCTGCGACTGCTTGGGAATCCAGAACCAGGCAGGAGAAGTAATATGTGATTACTGCATTGCTTTATGATGTTTGTTGTTACTGGTTTGAAATTGGATTTGATTAGATATATGTATAAATGCTGATTTCTTCTGCTTGCATATATTTAAGCATTTGAAGCAAAAATTTTTGGAGAATGTTCCATGATACACTATGTTGTTTAGTTTTCTCCAGGAAGTGATATATATTTTCTATAAATGGAGAAAGACTTTTGTTCCACCTAGGCATTCAGCTAAGTTTTCCGTGAAAGAGGAATTTTCTATGTTCCACTTTGAATTCCCTTGCATGAAATACTTTACTCATGGGACCGGCATGCTCAGTTCGCCCTTTATGGTGTGCAGCTGAGTGCAGTGAATGCCCTTGTTCTTTTTACGATGGACTTGGTATAGATATGAAGCTGATCAGCTACAGAGCTTGAGAAAGTCTGTCCGCATGGAGCTACAGGAGTTAGAGATGCAGTTAGAAGAACGTCTGCTTGCTTTGGAAGACCAACTGAGAAGTCTGCACATGTCTTCACCTTACAGACCTCAGACGCACGTAGTAAGTATTACTTTTCCAACAACATTATATGTTTTCTCAGTGTAATGTTAATAACTTATAACTGTTAAAACTTTTGCAGTGGAATGATATCTGGGGAATCTAATTATGCTGTGTGTATTATCAGGGATTGTATTTTATTATTTTTAGTCAGTGTTTCGTCTTGGGGAAAAGGTATGTGAATAGAGGAACTTTCTTGGTGTTAATACGTATAAATACATATCTTCTGGGGTTTTAGGTCTGAAATTTCAGACCTCTTCTGTCAGTGCTATCTTCTTTTTCCCCATCATGACCCTGAATTCTCACAGTTTTGGTGGGTAGCGCTCATGTCTAAAATTCTTGGAGGACAGTGATGGTCTTTCTGGAGTTTCCCTAC